CAATGCGTGGACGGGTTTCACTTTCGCGGTGTTAAAGTGTTGCACCCGCCGCTGATTCAGGGGAAGAAAAAAATGCGATTTTCGCGCAGCACGTGACTAAATCTCAATGGCAAATAACGCGAGGGGGATGAACCGACTGGGGGTTATTCTTTTTAAGGGGGAACATCGTCGACGCCGCTTCTATTCTATTCTCTTTCTCTCGGTTTTTCGCTTTTCGGTGGCCGCAATCGAAAACGCGAGTTACCGGTAGGAGCACCTTTCAACCGTTTCGAGGGTTATCGATCGTATCGATTCACGCTGGAATCGAAACTATTTATAACGTTGACGTTGAACGTCATTACGGGCAGCTAACAGTTCTGGTTCTAATTATACGGCATTGTTTCCGCGTTTCCTTTTCTACGTTCGCCGTGGATTTCACGCTAAAAATTGATCGTTGATATCGGTCCCGTTGAAACGCCGAGGGGGTGGAAAACCGAGCGATGGCTATTTCGAGCGCTGCGATGAGTTTGCTGGTCGTAAAAACGGAGCGATACCTCCGGAAAGGACCTTCCAATTATTGTTTCTCGATCGGCCGGCCGCGTTATTCATTGGAACGAACGAGAAAGCCTGTCGAAGACGCTGGCCGAGGCTAGAACATAACGGCGCCTGGATATGTGCTAAACTTTTAGTAAACAACTCGCGGTTGTAACGGTACCTAGATGCGTATCAAATCCTCGGGTTCCCGGGAAACGGTCGAAACATAAACTTCGCTTCGAAACGCTTCGCATGGGAACAGTATATCTCTTCCCTTGTCGCTCGCCTCCGTTCCGAGCGTCTGACCGACGAAACCTAACGTCTCTTTTGTTCTGTGTTTCTGTGCAGTGAAGGATGGAGTCCAGCGAGTGGGATCACGCGACCTTGAGGGAAGAGGAATTCGAGCAGCATGCCGTGTATTTGGTACCGGATGTGGGAGCGTCGCCGGGCGACACCAATCGCGCGGAAGCCTCCCTGCCGAGGAATTTGGTCCTCAAGCCTTCGCAGAGCCTCCACGATGTACGTTCACCCGCCAAAGAATCATTTCTCGAGACCTCCTCGGTGAGAGTCGCTAGAAACGTCCGTAGTCTTCCTCGAACGTTCGATCAACCCCTTTCGAGGGACTCGGTTGCGAAACGGAACGCACGCCTATGAAACCTTTCGAAACTGTTTTGCTCCGGTGACGGTCAAGTTGAACGATTCGGATTCGACGGATAGCAATCCAAGTTAATTAACTTAGCGGCCGTCGTGACCTAGAGTCCGAGTCAATCGTCACACTTTCCTTGGTGACAGGCATCGAAAGAGATCGCCTTGGTCGTTGCACGATTCTCGAATGCATCGTTCAATCGCGATTCGCGCGGCGAATCCGTGGAACCCGATCGTTCGTTGAGACTGTAAACTCGGCTATTTACGGGTACTCGGATGGATTTCGAACTAAAGGTACGGGTATCTCTGCCGGGATTCGACGGCAAACCGTTTTCGAATGATTAGGTAATGGTTCGGTCGGACGAATCGAACGAGAAGCGTGACGGTTCGACGGAAACGTCGAAACTACGCCGCGGCCCGTGTGAATGACTATCGCGCGGCTCCTCGTAAATACGGGCAAGCTTTTTCACCACGAGAATAGACGATCCGGTCGCGCAAGTCCAAAAATATGTCTCGGATAAAACTGTTGAACATGACGTAGTATATTCCGGCGACGACTGAATCGGCGATCACTTCTCGCGGGTATTTCGGTTCGACAGTCTGGTTCGGATTTAACATTTAAAGCCGGCGAGGAAGCGTTCCGTTTTTATTCCGCCGTTTGAATGTTTCAACTCTCGAACGCCAACTCCGTTGACGACACCGCGGGAGGCGATGATTAGGTCCATTCAGACCTTCACTTATCAATTTTTCTACGTATCTCTTGTTATACCCGCTACGAATAACTGACAAGTCAAGGTGGCCGTCGGCAGCTGGAGGATTCAATGGAATTTTTCAAAAGCTCTCGATAAAAATAGCGCCAGACATCGCCGTCCGGATGTCCTAAACGATTCATACGTTTGCCAGAAACAAACGAACGGTCGCTAATGAGTCGCTCGAGCCCGTTTCGCGTCAGATCGAGAGCCGCCGATCGAAATCTGACCGAACGGAGTCGAACGCTGGCCCCGGATTAAAGCTAAACAGAATGTTCTCGTGTGTGCACAGGTGTTGGGAGTTTGGAGCACAAGTTACATACCGAAGGGTACACGGTTCGGACCGCTCGTGGGCCAAGTGTACACCAAGGACTCGGTACCGGCCGACGCGAACCGGAAATACTTCTGGAGGGTAAGAAAGAAAGCAATAAA